CTTGGACTGCCCAAAGAAAGGGATGTGTTGGAGTGGCAGTAACCGAATATTACATTAAAAAAAACAAGGCCCTTTGCTTAATCTGGACATGCCCTAGCTGTCGGTACAATACGGCCAAGGAATGAGTGTAACAAAGGACTTCGCAAATTCATACGGGCTCTCTACAACGTGAAAACAGAGTCAGGAGGGAAATCCAAATATAAAGAAAAGTGGGGTAAAACCCCCGGTGACTGCAGAACTTAGCAGGCTGCTGACACGTTTCCATGTGTCTGTGCGGGTGCACTAGTTCACAGACAGCACTGAGCAAAGCACCAACGTTGCTTTCTGCAGTGCTGTCTGATTCCGTAAGAACCTGATGAGTTTCTTTGAGAGAAGTAGCGGCCCAGTCTAGCTCAGCTGTACTCAATCTGAGTTGCTTTCCTCCCCACAAACCCTCACTTCAAAGCAAGGAACATAATGTACAATTTTTTAATGGCTCTAGACCCAGGCACTCAGACTCTCTGCTCTGCGCCTTACCTCAGTGTAAACACCTAATCAAGACTGCCTGAGCTCCAACAATAGCAGCCAAATGCAATTGGAGAACCACAAGCCTTTGAAGTCCTCCCTGCACAGGGCCGGTTTTCTACTCGGGGATAATGACATGCCGAGATTGCTGTCTTTGTTGTATCTTTTCAGTAGAGAAGCAATTATAGGCCCCAATTTAACAGAATAGACATTACACAGCTTATGATGCTCAAAATGCAATTTCATTTGATCATTTTCTCGATTTGATTGGTATTAATAGAATGGCTCACCAAAAAAAAAGAAAGAAATAGCTGGCAGAGGTTGTGTCCCATCCCACTTTCAAAGAGATAATGTAGAAGTATGCTTCGCTTGCCCAGCAAGCGTCACCAGGGTGATCCAGCCACCAAGTTCCACCCAAACAGCCTGTGGGCGAAATACTGTACAGCTTTCATTTTCTTGGAAAGGAAGCATTAGACAGTGCATTTTTAATTTGTAAACTTTTCATCAGAACTATATGAAACATCCCTTCGTTATCAGGGGGAAAATTAATACTACCAGTGATAAACTGAATTAACTACCTCAAGTGCCCTTTATTTCTTAAGCATAAAAGTCCAGGGAATCTACATCCTAAGGAATAAGCAATTGAAGCCTTTGCAACGACACTGGCAAACATGGGAAAACCTAATGTGTTCGTAATCTTCAGGTGTTTCTGGAACCAGCGCTATAAGAGGGGCCAAGATGAGAATGGTTCCTGGCCTTGAGCAGCAGCATTTAAAAGTCAGATGTCCTGTGTGGCGAAGCTTTCCATTTGCAGAGGAGGGTAAAGCCTTCAAAACCTGGAGATTACCTCCACTTGCAATCGGAAGCCCCTGACCAAATGGGACGTTGTTTTGCTTTAGCAGTGAGAATTCAAGCAGAAACTTTCACTTTCCCCACTTGCAGATCAGTGTTTAGGTTTTCCAACTTCGTCACCAGGTACCCGTTTATTTCAGTGTGTGTGTTTACAGCAGTTACAGTAGTAGTTTACAGCAGCTATGGTTATTAAGGTACAGGCAGAGTTACACTCCAAATAGGACAAACATGGCATTGTGTCTTTTGTGCCGCGGAAGCTACGGTGATGAAGAGAGAGGTTATCTTCATTGTCAGCTATTTACCTATCACTACTTAATACATTCCGTTACCTCTTTCTGAATTAAATTGTGAGATTACACAAAGTAACTTGCAGTGGGAGAATTTGAACACAAGCATGACCAGTTCCAGGCCCGTGTTTGTTCCAGACTTATGCCTGGCCACTTCTCACACCGTAGAGTTCCACAGAGGAAATTCCACAAAACAAATGTAAAGTCTTACGACTGAATTTAAAAATCAACTCCATCCATTCAGAAAGATTTAACAAGAGGGTGCCACCCGGGGGCCCAGGAACAGTACCGCATCACAGAAAGAAAGCCCTAACCCAGGTCCTCTGCAAGAGCAGGCGTAAGAGGGACTCCTGGTTCAGATGCTGCCGGAACAGGATGCACCCATTCTGTGTTATTCCGGAGAGGGAAGGACAGTAAATATGAGAAAGTGTCTTTCCATCCGTACAGGAAGGGCTTTCTGGCAGCTAAGTGCGTGCTGATGGAGCGCAGTGCTCATCATGCATGAAACAGGGGTCTTTTTTTCTCTTCCCAAGGCATGGCAGGTCCATGCCCCAGTACTGACAGGTGCGTCGTGACCCTCAGGATGCAGGCATGCATCTGGCAGAGGGCAGGTGAGTGTCCAGCAGGGCTAGTGTGGCTATCCAGCTTCTCTTCCAACATCACAACTAGGTACGTTTGCTCCTGCAGGGCCTCCAGATGGCTAGAATGTCATGTAGCACAGAGACTGACAATCCTGATTTAAAACAGCCAATGAGGGCTGGGGATTTAGCTCAGTGGCATAAGCACCAGCCTTGCAAGCACGTGGTTGTGAGTTTGATCCCTGGTACCAATAAATAAATAAAATAAAATAAAACAGCCAATGAGTGGCCACTCAGTGCATAGTTTGAAGTCCTCAATCCTGCCTGTCTTCACCAGTGGTCCTCAAAGCTGGCTTGCAGGATAGACCCACCTGGAGAACATCCCCCCACACTTTAAAAAATAATATATGGGGAACTTTAAAAAATACTAATATTTTTAAATTTAAAAGACTGCTCTCAGTGTGATTTAGTGGGCTTAGGCTGGGATTAAAGAATTAGTAGTTTTTACTAATTTCTCTGAGTTCATTGAAAAGAAACATTTGTGCTAATATTGTTTGGACAATTAAATGCAGACATCTCATACTCTGAATAATTAAAGAGAACAATATGCAATATATTAACCATTTTTACCCTCTAATTATCATGTTTTGAAATTTTATTTTTTAAAATAATTTTGTTTTATTCTTTAAAACAAAAGAAATGGTATTTTTAAAAAACTTCCTAAATTTTTCCTAATATCTAGGCGTCAGAGTCACTGATCTGTATCATTCAGATTCACGGAGTACCAAAACTACAAAGTCTTTTTTTTTTTTTTTTCTAAACTACAAATTTTGCAGGTTTAGGATATTCCTAGATTAGCAAAATAGTTACACATGCAGGCTCTGTAGTTAGCCTGCTTGGCTCTTCTTACGACCATCTTTGCACCGAAGTTTTGATTTTTTTTTTTTTAATTTGCAAGAAGGAGATAATGACAGTATGGATGTCGTGAGGTTGTTACAGGGAGTACCACGTGATGTGGGTTTTATGCCGAGGGCTTGGGACAGCGGCCGCTATTTCATGAGCATTCTGTATACACACATAGACCTTGTTACTTCTGTGCCGTTGCCATCCTAAAGACATCTTGACTCACAGTGAGCAATAATGCAAAAGTGACCGCCCATACTTTCAGTTAAAATGGCTTTGTTATCAAATAGGCTCTGTTGGATGATCTTGCCTCACTGTAGGCTAATGTCAGAATTCTGAGCACTTTTAAGATCAGCCAGGCTAAACTCTGCTGTTGCGTAAGCTAGTTGTATTATTACGTGCATTTTCAACTTAAGATGGGTTTTTAAAAAGTTAATTTTATTGGCATTCTTTTCATATACATAGTGATCACACTCATCCTGGGGAATCTGTACCCATTCATAGTATATCTTGACTATATTTTTTCCCGTCCCCTCCCCTCTCTTCAACCCTTCTTTCTCTCCTTATTTACAAAAACTGTTTCCATGTTTTTCCTTCTATTTTTTTCTTTTTCCCTTCCCGCCCTTCTCCCTCTTCCCTCCTTGTCCTCCTTCCTATGTGAACATTTTTTTCCTGTTTTCCAAAATCTATCATCCATTTTGATCCTTATTTACATTTTCTGTTTCTCACACAAGAAAAACAACACAATATTTAAACCTCTGTATCTGATTTGTTTCACTTAAAAGTATGGTCTCAAGGTGCGCCCACTTACATAAAGATGTCTCAGGCTTTTACAATGGGCTTTTCAGGCCATAACCCCAACATACCTCAAAGGGCGTCATCTTACAGTGTTATTTCATGATTTTTCTGTGGACATCACCAAATGTTGCTTGCAGCAGCTCGCATCAGATAACTTTTAAAATTGAGTTCCCCTAAAAAAAAAAAAATGGGCTGGGGATTTAGCTCGGTGGCATAAGCGCCTGCCTTGCAAGCCTGTGGTCGTGAGTTCGATCCCTGGTACCAGTAAAAATACAAAAAAAAAAAAAAAAATTAGGTCCCTGAGTACATATAAGGTCCTCAAAACAGGCAGATCCAACTTGCAGCCCTGAACAGCTAGTAATGTGGCCCCTCAAGTTTATGTGGCTCTCAGCTGTAGTTTTTTATTAGTTGATTGTGTGGAGCTTGAGCTGACACTGAGTGGGTGACTGTGCAACACTGTGTAGGGGGGGTCACAGTGCAACACTGCTGTGCCTTCTGCAGTCACTGTAGCCGAGATGGCGTACCGGATGTCACATGTGCTTGTGTGACTTGTGAGTGTAATGCAGTGACTGTCAGTAAGAGTATTTCAGCTTACTTATAGGAGTGTGTGTCTCAGAAGACAGGGGTTTATCGTTACCAAGCAGGCATGTAAGTTCTAATTATCAAACTTGGGCTTATTGTGTTATTTCATAAACATTTTAGTAAGTTAAAATCTCAAAGTTTTGTTACTTGCATAAATTAACTTTATATTTTATATGCAGCCAAGACAATTCCTCTTCGCTCGGTTTGACCCAGACAAGCCAAAAGGTTGGATACTCGTGATCCAAAGTAAGGGGAGTTTGATCTCAGAGCACCATTTCTGCCATCGCATCTCCAAGGGGAGAGAGTGTTTATTCTAACTTTTCTTTGGAGCGATCCAGGTCCGTGAGGACTGAAGAAAGGAATTTTAAAATTAACTAAAAATAAAACCTAGCCCTGCAGGTTTCTGGAGGGCTTTCTAGAGTGCACAGACCTAAGCCACATGATACTAGACTAAAATGAATCAGGTTGACATGGTTTATATGCTTTACCCTCTTAGATCATCTACCCCATCAGAGGAGCTGGCAGGACATCTGCTCAGAATGCCAGCGAGACTGAAAACGCTGCCACCAACCCCAAGGACCAATGGCATCAGAGAGCACAGCAGCTAAAGGTTACTTCCTAGGTTGCATGTTGAGTGTGCTTCAAGTGATACTGTTAAATATGCGTGATGTTTGTTACTGAGTTCTGGTCACTTAAGAGCTTATTTTGATGTCTGAAAATAGTCACTCATCACCCTGCGAGGAAGACTGGTCATTCCCTGCTCAGCCTGCCAACCCCACCAGTTTTTCCAAAAGTTCTATTTCCTAGAACAACATCTTCATATCGCATTTTAAACATAAAGTTAACACCTCTCACAAAAAGAAGGAGTGGGAAATGTGTAAACTGAGAACAGGAAAAAGACAGGGAAGGATCCAGGGAGGAGAGACAAAGTCAGAGACAGACTTGTGATGAACTACCCAGAGAGTCATTCTGTGTGTTTTAAGAAGCAGTCTCAGCAAAGGGAGGGAACGCCTACTTTTTTTGTCCCTTCTCAGGCACCACCCTCTGTAGAAAGGTCTCTGAGCCTCTCCTGCCACTCAGGGCCAATCCTATTTGCCATGTGCCTTTCACTGCTGACCATGTTTCTTTTTGACCTGCTATATCAGCAGTTCCTTCCAGGTTAGGATTGTGTTTTCCTGTACATCCCTTGCTACCCAAGGCTCGTGCCCAGTAAATAGTCACTGACTGGTTAAAGAAACGTTTAGGTTATGAGTGCATCTCAAAGTGAAAATAGCCCTCATTTGAAATTTCTTTTTCTTTTTTCTTGACCCTGGTATCTAACCCAGGGCTTCGCACATCCTAGGCAGATTCTCTACCACTGAGCTATATCCCAGCCCTTTTCATTTTATTTTGAGACAGGGGCTGAGTTGCCCAGACTGGGCTTGAACTTGTGATCCTCCTGCTTCAGACTCCTGAGTAACTGGGGTTACAAGTATACACCACTACCCTGGGCCAAAAGGTTTTTTGTTCTTGTTTTTTTGAAAGATGACTTTCAAATAATCCACAGGTCCCTCAATAAAACAACAAATGACTCGCACTACTAAGAATGTATCTTTATGTGAAATCAAAAACAATTCCCACAGCACCTATTCTAAGCCCTAGAGAGTTAGTGGTTGGCGCAAAAAATATGATTAAAAAAAACAAAATGTTTTTTTTAGATCTTCAAAAAGTAAAACTTGAAAGATTGTTTAATGGTCCCTGTGTTCTAGACATTCAGACCTTTACGAAGAATGTGATTATATAATTATTCCAATGTGATAATGTTAAACTTGATACAAAAGTCAAGGAGACTAACAGATTACTTAATTCTGCCCTAAGAAGACAGAGGACAGTCCTTTGAAATAAGAGTATCTGAGATGACTCTGGAAGGAAGAAGGACAGGAAGCTGGGCAGGTTAGGTAGGGGCCAGATTCTCAGGTTTTAGGATAATCAAAAAAATTTAGTACCGGAGGTTTAGCTCAGCCACATAAACGCCTGAGCAAGTGCAAGGTCATGAGTTAGATCCCTGGTACCAAAAAAAAAAAAAAAAAAAAAAAAAAAGCAGGCTTTTATTCTGTGGATAAAAACCACTAGCAAGTCCTGAGCACACAACTTCGGTGCTCAGTGACGCAATCAGACTTGCATGTTTGAAATATCTCTGGTCTGAGGGCTGGACTGGAGGAGATTAAGGTAAGAGGGACCGTAAATTGATTTCTGCTGCAATTTCTCTGAGGCAGGCAGGAGAACTGGAACGGTGGCAAATTGGGATATGTTGTCATCTTTTCAGTGCGGCAGGTGGATTTGACCACCGGGCCAGCCTTTAGGTCGGGATAGCACCTGGCCCCCAGCACTGTGTAGAGATGGTTAGGGAATGGAAGGAGCAGATCTGCTTAGACAGGAGGTAAGAGTTGGGTCAGTAGAACCAATGCCACTGAAGAAAAAAGAAAACTTCTTCTCCCTGGGAAAGAAAGGAGAAGAATTTGCGGACAGGAAGGGGCCTGATTTTGAGGCTGGAGAAGGAGGAATGTGTGATCAGGTCATAGAACAGATGCCAGAGTTAGCTATGTCCCTTTGTACCATGAACCCTTCCTTCCTCGTGGGTTGAAGCTGTGGGCACTGCTGAGATGACTCAAGGGTTACAGGGTGTGGGAGAAGCACGAGGACCAAGAGCTCCGCCCTGCATGCAGAGGCCCACTGAGAGATGGGAAGAGGAGGCCAGTGCACCCCGTCCAGGCAAGGTGCTTGGCTCTGAGTTGACAGAGAAGTAGAGCAGAACCAGAGAATGGATCCAGTGAGAGTAGCTTTTGCTTTTTTCAGAGAAGCCATTTTATGTGCTGGAAACAATGAGAAACCAGAGATAGAATGAGGCAAGAACACAATGGGGCTGTGGTGTAGCTCAGTGGTAGAGCACTTGCCTGACCAGCGCAGGGGCCTGTGCCACAAAAGAATTGGAAATCGATGATCACTACTTCGTATATGAGAGCCTGGTACTTGCTTAAAATCATTACTTCAAACCAAGTAACCTTACTCCTCGCATAGGTCTCACTGTCCAGGATCATTCTGTGCTGTCCTGAGTTCCTCACAGTCATTGACGCCCCATTCCCAGTGGGGCGCCCACAGTGAACACAGCCCGGCGCAAGTGCCAGGAGATGGAGGGGAGCATGCTCCAGCCACACGACATCCTTCCCAGCCCTCATACTCTGTTTGGGCTGCTGTAACAAAAGCCGTAGACTGGGCAGCTTACATACGACACAAATTGATTTCTCACTGCTCTGGAGACTGGAAAGTCCCAAGTCCAGAACTGCCAGGTTCCGTGTGCAGGAAGGTGCAGTGATGGCACCTTTGCAGCGTGTGCTCAGGAGGTGAGAAGGGATGGCAGAGCTGCCGCGGACCTCTTCTCCGAAAACATGGACTCTGTGTATTCCGGGGGCTCTGCCCTTGTGACCTGCTCGTCTCCCATAAGTGCATCTTTTAAAACTATCACCCTGGGGTTTAGGATTTTTCATATAAAGCGGGAAGACACATTCCAGTCGTTCCACCAGGTGAGGTGTATACTGTCAGGAGAAAAACAAAAAGTTCCCCAACTCAGTACACATTTAAAAAGAAATAAAACCCCATTCTTGCCACTCTAAAATAACTCTTGAGCTCCTAGATGAAGAAAAGGTGATGACAATACGAAAGCCATGTAGGTAGGACCTCTCACTAGTACCATCAGGTCCTTGAAATCCGTCCATACTGGCAATCTTCCCAAAGAGCTGTGAATCTATCTGGTTTTGCTTCAAACACTATCATTTGATCTATCTTCTGTTCATGTGAACAGAATTCCTCCTTTCCAGTAGGGAAAATTAAAACCAGTTGGTGTCTGCCCAAAATTTTCATATTATCAGATGGGATTTGTAACCAAAGTTCGAAGGAATTGTATGTTATCGTCACTAAAAGCGCCAGGAAACAGATCACAGCAGAAGCCCCTCTACCTCAGGCTGACCCTGGAGACCAGACACAAACCTCAGGACTTGGAGGTTGAGTCAGGCAGCCAGAGAGGCCTTTGTGTAAGCTCAGATGAGCCTTCCGGTTAGAAGCAGAGCTTGCCTTTTCCTTCCACCTGTACCCTGTAAGCAGGTGATTTGTAAGACAGAAACAGTGAGACAGCGCTGTGCACAGACCTGGGGGCAGACCTCCCGGGGCGGCACAGTAACGAGTGCGCTCTAATGACTAAGGACCGCTCTTACCAAGAAATTGTCATCCAGCGTTTGGCGTCAAGATTTTCCAGTGTTAACATTTCACATATGACACGAAAACCTACTGCCATTAAGCAGTTATTCTGAGTGCGGGCAGGATGTACCGATCGCCAGTGTTGGTAACAAAGGAGCCCAGCGAGAGAGCAGGATGCAACAGAGGATTTCAGCGTTGATGGAGATTAAGTAGCCTGAGAATGGCTTTGTATGTTAACTTCAGGGGGCTTGGGTCTTGCCACCTAAAGAGTGACACCTGATGCCTCCATTGTAGGGTAATAAATCTTCAGTAAACCACAGATCTCAAGTAGGCTGCTCGGAAGGTGAGAGAAATCACATCAAACCCATAAATGTCTTCCTTTCTGGGAGCTGAAATACCATTTCTGGCACTTAAATTTATGTGAATAGCAGATTTAACACTTGACACAATTGAAGTTGGTAAAATGGTGAGTCCTTGGCCTCGTTGATAAAGCACCCTGTGAAGAGGGCTATTGTGATCGGAGTTGTCAGCCACGGAGGTAACAGCCAACTAAAATCAAGGGCTAACTCGGGGTTACAGACCTGGTACCTGGGGCAAGAAATCGGATTGTGGTGTTATCGTTGTTGGTTTTATTTTTGTTTTGATGGTAATGCAGAGAGAAAACTGGGACAGCTGTATTCAGAAGTAGAAAGTTCTTAGTCATTTGTTTCTCTAGAGAGTTAAAGGCTGAACAAATACTGAAAACAGTAACATTGTCAGTATGACATTTATAGATCACGGACAGCAGTGACAGCCGTGAAAAGAGCCTTCACATCTTTAGGATTGTGAAATAGCAATTTCTTTGGGATCCTTTGCAAGAAAGGGTTCTCTTGGGGTTATCTATCTTCAGAATCATCTTGCCTACATGTCCCCCGCACAGCACAGTATATTGCACGACAGAAAGAATGCTTTTATCTGGATGCAGAAAAATGTTTTCTTTTCTTTGGAGCCCTGCCGGTAAAAATTGGAAGTCTATAGGAATTAATTAGAGCATAGTCAATCCTCCAAAAGCTTAAATTCCAAAGAGAACATAACTATACACTTCAAATTTAAAGTCATTCTTACTTAAAAATTTGATATCACAATATTATATATGACTTTCAAATTTAATCTGAATCCTGTCATTGTAAGTGGTTTCACTAGGAATAGAACGCGGATTATGAGCCATAGGGCTGCATCAGAAAAGTGGAGTAAAAGTTGAATTCGCATCACAGTAATGTGATCATTCTTCCTACTAAGCTGAAATAATTTGAGTGACAACATAATTTTACTCACTCTAACATTTTTTTCCAGTCATCCAGTTGTTCCCTGTTTCAATTAGTGTTGCATAGATACAGTCCATAGAGTTTTTTGAAGATACGTGTGTTCAAAAAGAGAGAATTATGCTGTAGTTATATAACACATTGGTGCCTATGCTCATCTTACCGCTTTCAATAAGCATTTAATCATTCTTTCCCGAGACCTCTTAACCCAGCTAGTTTTTTTTTTCCCAGAGGAATGAGTACTCTATTACTTAGAAAAGATTTCTAAATGGCTATCCCACAATATAGTTACACAGTGTGTCTGTTATATCGGGAGTACATTTTGTTGTTGCTAGTCTTTGTAAAGCATAAAGATGGTTCTGAAATTGAAATCTTTCCCCCCAGATATTTGATTGCCTAAGTACAGGCTATATTAAAAGACAGAAGCAAAACAACCATTGTGGTTTCACAGCTGTCCTATCACAGCTCAGACTCTTAGAATCCCCTGAATGAAATCTAATTTGTTTCATCTGCTGAAGAGGTCATTTCTACCTTCTGACCTATACAAGTAAGCAGAGTTGAGAATCTGAGCTGTGTTTCATATCAAACTTGTATTTGGTCAGCGAAGCAAGTGTCTGGTGTTTTGTGGGTAGGATATTTGAAATATTTATTCAGTTCAAATAAGCTTGCATAGTTTGGTGTAGTTTTTATACTGTCTTTATGTGTATCTTTTTGCAAGTAAAGCTTTTGCTCAACCCCAATTTGGTAATATTCATTGTTATAACTTTAAAGTCAAAGACATGTCCTTAATACAAAGCTCATTTTAAGCTCTCGGTTTCTTTCGAGGCTCATAATCTAAAACTGTCTAGAGAAATTACTCAACTATTCACCCTCCAGAGGTCTGACATAGAAAAAGGACTCTCCGCGCTCTCTCCTATCTGCTTGCAATACTGTGGTCCACTTCCTAAAAGTCTCAGCCCCCACTTCAAAAATACTAAAATTCTTGAAAAGTATCTATCTCCTAACTTTACATTAACCAAAAATATCTTTTTAGAATTACCAGGAACACTGGTCTCAATATGAAGGTAAAAGATCAAGCAATCTTCCAAGACATCAATCCTCTGAGTCAGTAAATGGCCAGCAACCTTCCAGAAGACCAGAGAAGCCCCAAGTTCGGAGGCTGTACAAACACCAGAATGGCATGAAGGCCTTCATGACCAAAGAGCTCATTGTCAGTCAAGGAAACCAGAATAAAACTCCCACACAGCAACGAAACCAAAATCAGCATGGGCCCATTGTGCTTTTGAATGCTTCTAACAATGATTTACAAGACTCTATGAACCAGAAACCCCAAGTAACCTCCAATATCTTTGTCCCACCAAAACAGACTTTTGACAAGGTATTATATAAAAACTCTACCAGGCATCACTCAGTCTTGAATGTTAATAAAGCAAGATCATGCAGAGACGAAGAAGAGAAAAGGCTTTTGTATCAGCAACTACCCATCTGCACTCTTTCTAAGATGGATTTGAACAGCCTTAAAGGCCCTCAGTCTGCTGATGACATAGATGCTCATGCAGGCACCGAAAATAAGAAGCAACCCAAACAGCCTCATGAAGAGACAAAGTATAGGAACATAGAAATGCTATGGTAAGAGTTTCTTATTCTTTAGTGGTTTCTCAGAGGAGAAATAAGAAGCTACTAGAGAAAGATGAGAGTGGGAGAAGGAGGTGGGGGGCCCCTAGGAAAGGGCAGGTGAATCCCACATAGAGGTGGATCCCACATAGAGATTTGTTGGCTGTGACTCCTGGCCAGCACAGAATACTTCCGGTGAATTTTCTTTCCTCTCCCTGCCCTAACTTCTTCCACTGTGGTTGACTAAAACTTGAAAGGAGAGGAGGAGAGGGACTCAATCAAAACAGTTATTCAGAGAAGCAAGTGAGGTTAGAGGAAACCAGTTCTTATTGCCTATACGGTAATGGCTGATCCTAGGAAAATAGTCTGTAATACAGAAGATTCTTTTGTTTTTCCTTTTTTTTTTTTTTTTTTTTTGTAATACAGAAGACTCTGTATGCATAGAAATGTAATATATAAAAATGACCTCAAAATCCCAAAATAGGAAGATGCCTAGGTAAATTATGAAATTTAATATCATGTGAACATCAGGCACAGTGGAACATACCTTCTAAACCCAAAGGCTGAGGCAGGAGGATGACAAGTTCAAAGCCAGCCTAAGCTATATAGTGAGACCCTGTCTCAAAAAATGAAAAAGACCTGTGGATGTAGCTAGAGCACTTGCATAGCAAACACAAGGTTATTTTTAATTTCTCCTTTGTATTTTCTGAATTGTTCAGCTTCTGTACAGTGTAAATGTATTACTTCTGTAGAAAAGGGAATTTCTTTTTAAATCACTTCAGGAGAACTTACCTGATGCTCTTTAATGAAGCATATTTTCTATATACCCGACCTGTACTAACTATAAAGCAAACATGCCGTAGAAAACACACTAGGCACCTTGAACTAATTTGATTTCAAAATAGGTAGATAATTTTGGAATTGATCTCAAGTCATTTAAGTGTGATACTTTATGACACAGAATGTATGTTTAGTAAGATTCAGTTTGTTTCCCAAAACAGGTGTGCTCTTTTTCTCTCTAGCTTCAAAAGGACTGCTTTTAATATTTCTATCATTAAAAATAATACATAGTTTTTGGTAGAAACAGAGATAGAAAATTCCTTTGTTTCTGTTCCTGTTTTTCTTTGCAAAGAACCTCTGTTGTAAATAGTTATGAAATTTTATCAAAAGCACTGTACCAGGGAGCTATATCCCAGCCCTTCTTTTGTGTTTTTGTGACAGGGTTTCACTGTGTAATTCAGGCTGGCCTTGAGCTCAGTTTGTAGCCCAGGCTGGTCTCGGACTCACAGTGATCTCCTGCCTTAGCCTCTTTCCATTAACCCTTTAACATGACAAAACATATTAACGGATTTTCAAGTGTTACACTGTGCTTTTGATCCTATGGTAACCCAACTTGTCATACTGTGTATTGAACACATTGCTTGATTTGATTGCTAACATCTTGTTTCAGATTGCACACGGTAAGATTGACTTGGCATTTTCCTATCTGCCGCTGGCCTTGTCTGCATGTGTTGTCAGGATCGCAGCAGCCTTGTGAAATGAGCGGAAACTGTGCCCTCCTTTTGCATCCTCTGGGAGACTTTATAAACAGCTGGTATTACCTGTTAGTGAAATGTTTGATAGACTCTTCCTGTAAAACTGCTGGGATTCTGGGTGTTTTTGTGTTTGTTTATCTCTTTTGTCTTTGTTTTTGCCGTTGTTATTTGTCGGCAGATTTTGAACTTCCATTTGTTTATTACAATGGTTTCGCCTTTGCAATATTCCTGTTTCTTCTTTAGACCGTCTGATAAATTATAGTTGTTCCCCAAAAGTGTCCGTTTTTGCTAAGTTTTCAAATGTGCTGTTATAAAACTTTGCATGGTTACATAAAATTTTATCTTTAGGTCTTTGTTATATATGTAATCATGTTCATTTCTTTTCCTCTCTGGTTTTTAATTTTTCATCCAAGTCCGACATCACTCTGGCCGTTGGCAGTGCCCTGCCCACTCCCCTGGTGGTCCACGCCACAGTGCTTGCCCATGAGTTGGCATAACGTTGGTATATCACGTTGGTATAATGATGGAAATACTGAACATCACTAAGAGCTTTGATTTTTCTCCCCTTTTCACTCTGGAATTTTTCATAATTCTCAGCCGTGCTTATTTACTGGTGTATTTTGCTGCATCAGCTGTAGATATATATTTTTGGCTTCCTGTTTTGGTAGGTGAAGATTTATTTCCTTACACCTACTTCTCCTCCCTCATCCTTCTCAAACAATAGTTGTCTTAGAACTTTTGATTAGACCAATGTTTGGTATTTTAGTTATTATGCCAGTGTATCTGTGATTCATGGTCTAGCATCGTAGACGCTATGATCATGTGTTTTGTTTTTTTCCAAAATATCACAATTACTCGGGTGTTAGGGGGTTTTGGTCTTTGGGGTTTTGGGGGGTTTGTATTTGCTTACTTTTTTGTGCATGTAACTAATTGTTCCCACACTTTCCAGTGGCTTCTCCTTATATATTTTGCTCAAGAACAAAGTTCTTTCTGCTCTCTCAGAGACAGCCTTCAATTTCTTTACCTCCAGTGCTTGCTACATAGCTCTTTTGAGAATCCCCTGGCTATCCTGATGGGATTCCATTTCTCAGGATCTCACGTCTTCTTTATTTTACCTGGGCACAGTATCCGGTGTTTTCCTCAGATTAGAAACGTGGTACAGTGGCAGAGGACAGTGACGGCAGTCCTCAGAACCCCGTGTCTCCACGTGACCTTCCACACTCCCACTCTGGGGGGCACACGGGCATCCTGCGGAGCCTCCCTTTAGGTCACCATGGAGACGCCGTCCCTTCCCCATCGTGGCCCTCTTGCTTTCCTTACCCCCTTCCCCGTTTCCTCTTATCTTGGCTGAGCATCTTCACGGCCGAGGCAGTAAGTGTTTGGAGACCTCACGTTTGTTTTGCCCTCATCCCTGATGGGTGGCTGGAAGTCTCGGAGAATGCCAGTTTGGAAATCATTTGCCCCTAGAAATGTCTTCTTGCCTCAGTGTCGACGTTGAGAAATGGGAAGCCAGCGTGTCCCTCCTCATTCCAGATTCTTTGTTACGTAACCTGTGTGTTTCATTCTCTGGAAACTGCAGGGTCTCTCTTTTTTCCAGTAAAATGAGAATTGAGAATAATAGGTCTTGGTATTTCACAGATATGCTGGGCCTTTTAACCGGGAAACTCGTGACTTTGAGCTCTAGGAAGATGTCTCGACCCCTGTCTTGGATCATTTCTTCCAGCCGTCTTCTCTGCTTGCTCTTCCTAGAAACCCTTTTTACTCAGATGTGTTCCTCCAGGACTCTGTGTGTGTGTATGTGCATGTGCGTGTGCATGTGTGTGTGTGTGTGTGTGTGTGTGTGTGTGTGTGTGTGTGTGTGTGTGTGTTATGGGGACTGAATCCAGAGCCTTTGCTCTGAGCTACATCTGGCCCTTTTTGTTTTTTATTGTTTGGTTAGTTGGTTGGTTGGTTTTGATTTTGGTTTTTTGATTTGGTTTCACTTGGGATGTTGTGTTGTGCTGTGTGTGTCGTGTTTGAGAGAGGGTCTTGCTAAGTGTCTTAAATTACCCAGGCTGGGCTTGAAATTGGGACCTTTCTGCCTCAGCCCCCCAGAGCACTACAGGACTGTGTTTTCTTATTTTTTGTAAGTTTGTTATACTTTCTGCATTTCTCAATTTAGCTTCCATCCTTTTACAGCTCTTGTGTTCGTTTTGTTTTGCTTTACTGTTTGGTTTGGTTTGGTTTGGTTTGGTTTGGTTTGGTTTGGTTTGGTTTGGTTTGGTTTTAGAGCCACAGTTTCACCGTGTTGTCCAGGCTAGCCCAAATTCCTGTCCTCAAGGAATCATCCTGCTTCGGCCTCCTGAGTAGCTGGTACTGTAGGTGCACAGTAATGTAGCTGGCTCTAAAAATACCTTTTGTAAATGAGTTTTTATTTTCTCACCCAGGGTTCTATCAACATTCATTTATCACATTTGCTTTTTAGTGTCTTTAATTATTTTTTAATGTAGAACAAATTCTTCAACCCCTATATTTCATTGTTTTCAGCCTTTATAAAATCTGTTTCCTCATGATTATTTTTAATTTAAATATTCTTGGCAGGAATACTATATAGGTGATCTAGGGTGTGTGTTTGTGTGCTGTTATTGATATTTTAGTTTGTTTGTTTGTTTGTTTACTTATTCCAGTACAGAGCTACATCCTCAGTCCTTTTTATTTTATTTTGAGACAGGGACTTGTTTGGTTGCCCAGAATGGCTCCAAACTGTGCCCCTATTGCCCAGCTCCCTGAGTGATGGGATTGCAGGTGTGCACCACTCTGCCTGGCATGGTCTGAGCTGTATTGCTTTGTGTCAGGAGGCACCTAATGACAGACCGTCATCCTGCTGGGGATACTAAATGAGATCTCTGGGTTAGGGTGAAGAAGACTCGACCTCTCACCATTGTAAAGATGGGTTTCTTTTTGTGTTTAATATTTAAGACAATTTAAACATTCGATTTCCCAACAACTTTCATGCAATTATTTTAGTGTATAATAGACAGTCCTTCCTTAAATTATTCAGTGGAGATTGCAAAAGGTTGATTTTATAATTCTACCAGTATTTCAACATTTATTACATATGGCAGTCTATTGAAATAGATTTTTTTTTTCTCTTCTTTCTCCTCTCTCTGTCTTGTTTTAGTATCATTGTGGATTTATGGATCTCTATTTTTTTGAGTCAGGATCTTCAAATGTAGTATAGGCTGACCTTAACCTCATATGGATCGCTTTAAAAAAAAAAAAAAAAAAAAAAAAAACACACAGTAGAGCCTATTATCAATTCAGTGTTATGTTCTGATTGTCTTGGGTTCAAGCAGTAGGAGCCCTTTCTTGCTAGCTCCTGTGTCCTTTATACGTAACACTTTTTGTCTTTGAGCACTTTTTGGCTTCTGGCATGACAATATATTCTGGGCTCACCTTTGACTTTCCCTGAATCTATGTGGAAGCAGTCATTTCTCCAGAACAACTGTCTTCCTTTCATGGAATTCAGGAACCAAGATTTGGGAGCTCTATATGGTCACTGTCATGGAAGAATCGTTGCTCTTCACTGCAGTGGTTTTTATGTAATCTGGTATGTTACTGGGGATTTAGCATTTCAAGGGCAACAGTCTTTATTCAGGAATCTTAGTTTCTAATTCTCTGCCTTACATGGGGCCAAGATATCACATACCTTGTGACAGGATTAGGTGCTGAAACTCAAGACCATATATCCAAATGTCCCACAAAGAAAGCCATAGCCTTAACCCGTCCAAAATCTGCTGTGGTTTTAATTTCATTTTGTTTTCCATTCCTGGAAATTCCTTGCCTCTTTTATAAATTCAATCATGCATTTAAAAGATGTTTATTGAGTCTAACATTTAAGGAATTTAGTCGAGAAAAGGTCTTTGACTTTTCAAAAAGGTGAATTTTTTTCTGTTCTGAATGTACTAAGTGCAAAAGAACATTGGAATATCTTAAAACATTTTAACATAAGAAATTAATATATTCATGAAAAGATTACTTAAGGTCATTACTTTGATTCAGGAAATGATAAATATAGAAGGTAATGGTTTGTGAAGACTTGAGGTCTTAGGCTAGAGGTCTTATGTATTCAACTTCAATAACAATTTTTTTTCCCAAAGGAAATTCCACCCTTCCTCATACAGACAGCATCCTAGAGCATCTCCAGACTCACGGCTCACCCAGATCATGGAGCAGCATCAGCAAGCCTTGGTGCAACTGGCCGAGGTACAGCCCAGGGAGGGCTCCTTCTCCACGGTCACACTTCCACCCATCTTGTCCAGGGTGGAAAGTGAGTCCCAACTCAGTTCAGAGAAAAACCACAGAAACCAAATCAAAATTATTCGTAGCAATTCCGAAGGCTATCTGTTTCAATTGGAAAAGGGGAAAAAAGACAGGAAAAGAAGCACCATTAAGGTAATAAAAGCATCATTTTTTTTTTACCAAGTAACTTTTTAATTTTAGCAATACAGATGGACCTTGCTTTTTGTCTCCTTGAACTGGAGCCCTGGAGTAGGGTCCTTACTGAGCTGCTGCCACACTTGGGTATCCCTGGAATTTCTTTCCTCCAGCCTCTGCTACACCTGGGAATTTTCTTCCCTTCTTTTGAAAGCCATTTTTGCCAGGATGCAAGTTTCCACCTCATTTTTAGTTAATCTCAAAGAAGAGTCTACATTTGCAAAGAGGTGATCATCCTCCTTTTATCCTAGTTTAAACACAGCTTCCTCAGAGAAGCTTCCCCAGCCCACCCACTGTCCTGAGCAGAGCCTCCACTACATTCTTTCTAAAAAAGAAGAGCCAGGAGGTGGGGTGAGCGAAAGTGCCTCTGGCTGCTGTATTTCCCCCACATCCTCCTTTGACTCCTCCACACGCAGAGGACTCTTCTGGTAGGTGTGTAAGGTGGGCTTCACCTTACTCAGCTATTGTGGTAAAATCCCAGCACTAGCCAAAATATGAACTTGTCTTTGAAATGCTAGCTGATCTGTATCTACAGTAAGATTGACCATTACTAGCTCCTTCGCACACTTAATCTTTTTATATCCTATGCATTTCTCTACTATCAAAACCAATAAAAAACTCTCAGGAAAGATCACTTGCTTCTAGTGTCAAATAGCATATTACTCTGTATTTCACTGCTGTTGTGAAATACCTGAGGCAGGGTAGGCCTCAGTGTAGCTGTGGTGATTATGTGTGTGTGAGAACGAAAGATTACATCACCAGACAGGAAGACAGCAATTCCAGGTCAGGCTCATTTTTGTAAAAACTGGCTCTCACAAGAAGTAACCCAGGTCCCACCAGAAGAACTACCTTAATTCTTTCCAAGACTTGTACCTCAAAGATACAATGACCTCCCATATCAGAAAGGTCCATGTCTCCTCCCACCATCACCACACCAACCACTGAGACTCCAGCACGTGAACAGACATATGCCACCTATATCTGAACCACAGCAAATACTAAGAAGGCTAGAAAATACATTCTGTCCCAGGTCAGCTTGGAAGCAGCAGGCCTGTGGTGGGCTAGGTTCACTGGGAACAGACTCTGCACGGAGCTTGAAGTGTAGGAGCTTCCTGAGGGCTTCCCTTGGGAACAAAGCCTGTGAGGGAGTCAGAGGCCAGATGTTATGGTCTGTGTCTGGGTGTCCCCGCAAAGCCTCATGCAGCCATAGAGGCAGCTGAATCTTGTGATTGGTTTGTTTTCTGGCACTGGGATTAGCAGTGTGAGTGCCTAATAGCCAGCATACTATATAAGAGAGAGAAGGAGGCATGCTTTGCCCTTTTTACCCTGTTCACCCTGTGGCTGCCATGAACAGCTGCCCCTTAGCCATGCCACCCTGCCTTGGAGCCAGCTGAGTATGGATTGAAACCTCCAAAAACTGTAAGCTAAAAAAACCTTTCCTTCCCTAATTTTGGGCATCAGGTATTTTGTCTCATGAGAAAAGTAATCGAGACACCAGGTGACCAGAGGAAAGAGGTGAGTTGTATGCAGATGCAGCAGAAGCCTCATCTGGGATTCAAGAAGGTTCTGAGTTGGGTGGGCAGTTCAAAGTGTGGGATCCCACCTTTGTCCTTCCCCTATTGTGACCAGCTACTGGAGAATGCCTGCCCTAGGGGAGATTGTGGCTTTGTTCACTGCAGCTCTACTCAACCACAGACAGTTTTTAGGAGAGGACTCAGTTGTCAAGTGTCAGCTGCCAGGGCTCCCAGCAGCTGGGCAAGTGAGCACCTCAGCCCAGAAGGCACCCATTCTAGGTCAGTCTGGGGGCAGTCAAGCAGACTATTCTCCATTCAGTTCATCATATACATTCTGAACTCCTGCTAGGAACTGTAGTACATGCAGGGATGTAAAGATAAATGAACCATGCTGGGTGTGGTGGCACATGCCTGTAATCCCAGCATTTGAGGCTGAGACAGGAGAGTAACTGTGAGTTTGAGACCAACATGGGCTACAAAGTGAGCTCAAGACCAGCCTGAACTGCATAGCGAGACCCTGTCTCAAAAAGACCAAAAAAATTGAGATATATGAACCATGACCCAACCCCCAGAAGAAGATTGGAGCTATATGAAGCTCTAAGATAGACTTGTAGGTGCTTTCAGTATAATGATATGAGCAAAGTAAGTCTCACAGGGGACACAGAGGAACATGGAGGGGTATACAGATCCTGATCTGGGGATCAAACAGGGTTTCAGGAAATATGCCTTAGCTGAGACTTTGAGGATGGTGGAGAAAGAAGAAAAACAAGCATTTCAGACAGGGAAGTGGCTGAAGCCAGGTTCCAGGAGCTGTGACAGCATGGTACATGCCTGGAATGAATGGGTACATCATGCTGCTCTAACTCAAGGTGGGAGGTACAAGATGTGGAGAAGTGTGGGGAAAGAGGGAGGTAAGGGCAAGACTCAAGACCCTGTTCTTATTCAGAGCAGAAAGTGTTGACTGGGCATGATGGCACACGCCTGTAATCCCACGCTGGTAGGCTGAGGCAGGAGAATCCCAAATTTTAGCTCAACCTGGGCAAATTACTGACTTAACAAAACCTTGTCTCAAAACATTAAAAAAGTGTTGGGGTTCTATCGCTGTGTGAAGACCCTAGGGTCAATCCCCAAAATCAGAAGCGGGTGGGCAAAATATCTTTATTCTATACAACAGAAGTAGATCATTGAGGAATTTTTAACACGGTTACTCATATTTTTTAGAAAGTTGCTCTAGCTGTGCTGTGTAGTGCAATTACATAATCTCAGCACTTAAGAGACTAAGGCAACATCCTGCCCCCCCCCCAAAAAAAAAGATGTACCAGGAATTTATAGGATCATGGAATCAACAGACCTTCATCTGATCCTCAGGAAAAAAGGAGGAGGATGTCCTCAAAGAGTAAACGGAGGAGGCATGCCTGCCCCTGGAAGTCTCGTCTGGGAGGCACTCTGTGTGCTCCAGGTTTCTAGCTCATTTCCGTGCACCCCAGTCCCCAGATCTCTGACCTCCTCATCCTAACTGTTCTCCCTCATAGCCTCTACCTTGCTGGGACTCCCCCACCCCCAGCCCAGTGAGAGATGTGATAGGATCCCCAGTTCCGCTGTAAATAAGGAGACATACATTTCTGGAACTGGGTCACTTGTCTTTTGCCACAGAAACCAGTACACAGAAGAGCAGTTCTACACTACTGTTAGTACTGTTCTCAAGTGTTCTATAAATAGGTTTTGTAGACAAGAGTAGGCAGCTGGACATCATATATGGTATACTGTTGTTTCTGCTTGAAAACAGGTTCAGAGCTTTGGAACCAGCGTATGCTCAGTGTGAAGACTGCTCACACCAGACCTTCACACTGCCAGGGCCTAACACACTACTCAGACACAAAGCCTCAGAAGAGAACCTGCCCTGCTAGTTTTGCCATTAGCGTGTTGTGAAAAGTACACACTTTTAAACTCAGTTCTCAGCCAGAAAGATGTACTGGAAATCATGGGCTCAGTCATTTCTAAACCCTAATCTCAGCTTGGTTATCCATTAGCTGTGTGGCTGGGGCAAGTGATTAATTTACCTGGATTTGATGGGAGATTAAATGAGGTATTTAAACCTTAGTTTATTCCCTAACAAAGGATAGCCATCAACTAAATGTTAATTTCTTTTCCTCTTCCTCCTCGTCCTAGTAATTTAAATTCATGTTTTACTGAGAAGAAAATAAAGCAAAGTACCCTGGAGATAGCGTGTGTCACCATAAGTCTAGGTGCCCAAGAGGGAAGGGAAGAGGGAGGAGAATTCCCACCAACTGTCTCTCAAGCTCTTTCCAACTAGGAAAATCCCTCCCTTCCTCTTTCTGTCAGGAATGTCGCAATCCATATGGATCCATTTTCTCAGGCCAGCCTACATCAGACCAGTGCACAGAAGCTCTCTTTGTCCTTTAAGCTATTCCAGAAGCTAAAATGACAGAACCGAGCTATTTGCGCAAGACAGCAGGTAGCTAGGGCACCAGACAGAGGGAATCATTATCCAGGTCATGCCCATTTGCTAGTCACGTCCAATCTTGTGGTTTCCAGGGGAATTGCTCTGAAGCACATTAAAAATTTGAGGATTTGTAAAGGTAATAGGCCCAACCCCCTGCCTCTTCTGGCAGTTCTGTTATGACTGATTTATGAATGCCAGGCATTGTCCATGCCATTAAACAGACATCAGGCAGTCAGAGATTAACATGTACAAGGTGACAAGCAGTATAAAAATACATTTGTGTCACAGCCCAGTACAAAATCTCTGGTTAGGGCTCTCTGCGGCAGCTAACTGTCAAGCGGCAGTAATTAAACTCGTGTTTGTTGTCACAGACAATCTGGGTGTTGCTGCTTGACTGCTTGGAAGAAGAGGTTTATTTGGATTAAATTTAGCAACCACAGAGCAAATTTCCTTCACTTGCTGCTCTGGAGAACTGGAGGCATTGTTCTTAGCCCTGCTTTTCAGTAACTTTCTCACACTTAGGCACCTAAGGAATTTTCTGAATAGCTCTGCAGTGTGTCCCCCACCAGGGTGCAACGTTTCCGAACAAAACAGGTCCTCAGTGGAAGAGTCAATGTCATATTCAGTTCAGGCACACGCTGCCCTAAGTTTACAAAATCACCCATCTGGCTTGAGGAGACTTGTGTGGTTAGTACTAATGGAAACTTTCCATCAGGAGAGTCGTTTGCTGAAGCCAAGTGCGAACCCCAGATCAGAGGGACTGGTCAGGTCCTAATGCCCTGCAGACAGTGCCATAGTCAGTGCTCGTCAGCTCCTGTGTGTTTGTGCAAAGTCAAGAATGGATCTCGTCAGGGATTTGTTGGGTCGGGGCCTTTATTTTCCAACTTGTTGCTCCTGTGTTTGGAGACCTAATGGCACTACCAATGTTGATTATTACATGATTACCATTACATTGACATTGTACTGCCTTGACCTTTTGGCCTTAGAAAAGCCAAGGAAAGGTAAATCAAAGTAAATTCTAAGGATTATTTTACTATAAAGGACTTTTGGAGAGACAGAAAGTAGATTAGTGGTTGCCTAGGGCTGCAAGGGGAGGGCGGGGGATTCTTTTTATGCTGATGAAAATGTTCTAAACCGGATTGTGGTGATGTTTACATAATGCGAGTATACTAAAAGTTACTGAACTGTACAACTTCAAATGAGTGAATTTTGTGGTATGCGAATTCTTTCTGGATAAAGCTGTTTAAAAGACTTTAGGTAGAGAGAGATCAAACAAAACTGCACTGCTAAGAAGCAGCTCAAGATTACTTGCGCCAAACTTCAGCAAATCCAGGATTTTCATTGCCAGTCAGCCAGAACAAACTCCGTTAGGAGCCGCCACTATCCCTTGAGAAATGTTGCTTTGCTGTGGCCCCTCGTCCCGTCAAGGCCCTGTTGGACCGCTTGTGCCTCCTTCATTTTGATGCCCGGTGCCAGAGCCTTGCCTGTGTCGTCCTGTGCTAAGCTAGAAGTTTATTTGAGGTGATAGTAAGAACTGTGGCTGGAGATCAATGAACAATTATCCATGCTTCACAATGTGTCTTTTGTGAATCAGTGGCGTGATTAAAAGTTAAGCTGCTTCAGACAGAGGATGAGATTTCTGGGCACTGGTCATTTCTTTCTCATCATCTTTGGACAAATTGAATTATGACTTGGGGATCAGTGGGGTTTTATTTCCTTCCTTTTCATTATTGGTTTACTCTAGCAAATAAATAGTAATTTAGTGATTACAGAACAATGTCAATGAGCATATGTATGAAAAATAACAAATTTGCAATTATCGAGTGAACTCAGTGAGCTATCTGAGTTCATTCACTCATTAGAAATTACTAAAGGTTTTTAAAATGCGATGGTACCTTGTAATCAAGGCTTGGGCAAAAAGAGCAACTTAATTCTCCCTTGCTAGTAAAAATGCTAATTGATAAACATGTTTATTTGGTCTCAATCATTATATTTCTATGAACTTATCTCAAAGAAATAATTACAGTAACCCACAACAATGTGTATTCCAGGATGTCTTAAATGGTCAATATTTAAAAGAGGACCTAAACAGTTTAACTATAATTAGACAATAGGATGTTAGGCCCGAAAAATCACATTATTTAAAACCTCAGCAAAGTAGATTACAATGATAAATACTTAGTGAAAAATAAAATAATTTTTAGTGTGTGGAAGATTCTGTAGAAGTATAAGCAGGCACACCGCACAGGAAGTGGCTGCCGTGCTTTGCATGATAGTGACTTTTTTGGGAGACACTCTCCAGGCTGTCCTCAAACTCAGAATCCTCCTGTCTCGGCCTCCCAAGTGTGTGCATCCCCATATCCAGCTAACTTCTGTTTTCTTACAGGAGAGATATTATATATAATGATTCGATTTCAGAGGATTTCTTAAACTAGAAATCCTCTGAAATCTCACTTTTTAGAATTATATGTGCTGAAAGACTTTTGATCTGAGTGTTTAACACTGAATGGGGCAAATTCTGTTTACAAAACCATTAATCCTTACAGTAGAGAGCTGAAATTTCAAAACTATGAGTTCAGTTTTCTTTCACACAGCTAATTGTACAGTTTGGCAGTTACAGCGCCAGTGTCTACGCAGCCCCAAATGAGAGCCAAGATGCATGTGTTCCTTTCCTGTCCGTGAGACTGCCCCTCCCACTCTGGGTATCACACCCGCTCAGGGACAGGAAGACAACACGGGGATGGGCCGCGCCAGCCTGCAGAAGACTTTTCCAGAACTCACCCCAATACCATGCAGATGGTCACGCTTACCTCACGGGCCGGAGCTCACTGCTGGGGAGCTCAGGAGAGGACAGCACCCGCCCTCCTCCCTTACGGGGCCTGCATCTGTGGCTTCAACCGTCCCCAGTGAAAAACTGTTTTAAAAACAAGTGCGTCTTTACTAAACACACAAAGCCTTTGTTTTCCTGTCCTCTCCTAAATAATAATACAAAACTGTTTAAATAGCATTGACATTAGGCATTATAAGTAATCTAGAGACAATTCACAGCACACAGGTGGATGCGTGTAGGTTACAGCCGAACACTACACCATTTTGTATGAGGGTTTTAGGACTTGGTATGGTGAGGTGCCCTGGAACCAGGCTCTTACTATTTAAGAAACTACTGTATTTGGCTTTAGAGCCTGGTAGAGGGAGAAGCTAGCTGACATGCTCTGATGAGAGCAGACCCAGCCTTGTAACAGCTGGTGCAATGTGTAACAGCAGTTCACTCTTAGGATTATGGCGACACATGTCATTTTGTCTAACATGAAGTGATCTTTTTTATCTGGACTCTCTGTCAAGTTCTATCTTAGATAAAGGCTCGCTAGATACACTGTCCATATTGAACTTCAAGAAATAATTAAGAGGAGCTTCACTTTGACCTCCACATGCAGGCAGGGAGTGTCACAGAGTTAGCAGAGAGCAGATGCTTCCTCAGCTCTGCCCTTCTCCACCCCATTCTAAGCTTCTCTGTGCCCCAAGGTGATCACTGCCATACAAATCCTCTCTTTGAAATTGTCTTTCCTATCCCTTCCCTCCCAGAAAAAGAAACCAAATTGCTTACTGACTGAAAAGCGAAAGTATTTAGTTTCCTAAGGAGCTTTTAGGAAGTAGCAAGCCTAAACTTCCGTTTGGATGTCAAAAGCTGCAGCAGGGGCTGTCTTCATCTGTCCCATGGCCAGGAGAGCCCTGGGGTTTCCCTGCCTACTGTCGAGCTCAAGCGCCATAATCTGGTCATTAAATTGCCTCTCTGTTGCTCTGGCCTTTTATGTGTGCAGTACTAACAAAGAGGTTAAGTGTAAAACTCTGTGAGCCCTCCACAATATAAAAGAATCATACCCACTGAACAAAAGGAGTTTCTCAGTGGGTCTTGCCAAGACTCTTAAATAGTTGCTTTTCTTTGAGTTTTAGGAATGGAGTATAGTTATTTTTTCCTTAAAATTATCTTTTTATTCCCCAGCAATCAATAGCGGGACTTTCAAGTTGCTACCTAGGTGTGTCTGATGGGCAGTAGTGTAAGTTCACTAGAGGAGTGCGGTCATTTTGAAGCAGCGTGCTTATCTGATGGGCTTACATGGCCTCTTCCAAGGAAATCATATGATGTAGCAAACTGCCCAAAACTGACATCATAGGAACAGCAGCCGTGGTAAAGTGGCACTGTATGTGTTATATTAAAAATAGTAAAAATAGCCAGTCATGATGGCACACACCTGTAACTCTAGCACTCGGGAGGCTGAAGCAAGAGGATCACTGTGAGTCCGAGGCCAATCTGTGTACCTGTGACTTCAAGGCCAGTCTGAACTATATGGTGATAACCTGTCTCACAAAAAAATAGAGTACATTACTAACTTGAAATCTTTATTTCTAATTTCAGGATTTCAGTTCCCTGCACAAATGCAGAAGTCAAAACATGTTAGCTAGTCATCCACACATTACCAGAGACTGCTACCAGTCTCTGCCATCAAGGTGGAAGGACTGGCAGGACCCGCTCCCCTTCTCTGACCGTCTACACGGGTTTCCATTTACCAGCTTCCTTCTTTCCTAATGCAACTGTGGCTGTTTGAGGGGAACGGCCAGGAGCTCTGAAAAGAAACTGTTTCTGTGCTTGTATTTTCAGAGTTCCAAGCTGAAAGGTTATCGAAAACAAGACGTGAGACTGGGAGGCCTGGGACCTGACTTTGAGTCCAGCAGAGGCAAAGTGAGTAAAGAGGGACATGAGCAGTGCTGTCAGGCTGGACAGGTCCATCTGCCCGTCCGCAAAACTGTGTGGAGGTGCTCCCCCACATCAGGCCTGATAGAACGTCCCACACAGAGGAGAGACCCTTAAAACAGCCCTGGAAATAGAGCAGGGGCCCACACGTTCTTTTGACAGTGAAATAAAAAGTATCAGCCAGTGTAGTTTTAGGTTCCACCCTTCGGTTACCTTCGAAGGCCTTCATGGGAAAGCGGCACACGTGTGTGAAAGGGCGCCTCTGTCATGCGGTCACAGGTCTTCCCTGACATTGTCCTGAGTGGCTGCAGAGAAGACACTTAGGTCCGAGTTCCCCAACTCCTGAGAAGTACCTCCACTCTCCTCTCCTCTCCCCCGGAAAGGAGAGTTCCATTTAATGTGTTTTCACCGCAGCTGCACTCGGGCATTAAAAGACAGTACAGTTTAAAGTTGGAAGCAAAAATGAAAATAAATTGGATAAAGGCAACAAAGAAGGGACTGCAGTGATTTGCCCCTGTTAAGGGAGTCTGCTGCAGGGATGTCCCTCAGCACAGAGAGACGAGGGGAACACGGACTTAACCTGGTCTCTGCCGTGACCTTACATGGTGATCCGCTCCTCCTGTGCTGCTGGCATCGTGCAGGGCCCACTAAAAACCAGGGTCGCCTTAAACAGAGCAGAGACAGCGAGCAGAACCTGAGAGTCATGATAACTGTGTTTCTCTGAACAGATGCAAAAGTTAAAACAGCAGAAGGAATATGCAAAACAAGTTAAAGAGTATAACATGAGGACACTCTCCGTTCTATCCAAACCGCAGACCGCAAAACCTGAAACTAAACCAGTCTTTCCTCGGCAGAAGGTAAAAACCCCTCATGCAGGCGCTTTTTAAATCAATTAGAAGGAAATACTTGTTCCTGCCTCCGGGTGTGGAACTTAGGACACATCCTAATAACGGTCCGTCCTGCAGCTGCGGTTGTCCACAGCTCCTGGAGCTGCAGCAAACACACAGTGCTGGGGGAGGAGACTGTTCATCCTCCTAAAGTTCATTATTTCCACATTTGTCTTCCAAGTGCACTGTGTTAAGTTTGCCACACATAAAAAGTCGGTAGGAAAGAGATTTCTCAAAAGAACAATCCTGATTGACTATGAGTTCATTCTCAGTCATGAGACAGGTTTCAAGGAGGTGAGTGTCTTGCTGTTTAATGTTAAAGAAAAGCCCTTCTGCGTTTCTGTCAAGTTCATGCCTTGTGGTCTTTCACAGGGATTGTAACACATGCTTTCCGCTAGCAAAGAAAAATGATTTCAAGAAATACGGAACGTTCTCTCCCCCAGGCCATCCAGCCAAGGGCTGCGGTGTGAGTGCAGCGTGTGCCCAGAGACACAGAGCTCCACGGCGCAGGTCTCTGCTTCCATTGATCTAGACAGTCCCAGGAAGGACAGGAGATCCTTCGGTGCCTTGAGGGATGAGTACTTCGTGTTCCCTCTCACAGACCGTCGTATTTTCTATTTATTGCCTTTTCCCTCAGACCTTGAAGACCTCAATCCTCTTAGTGGAGTTTCCATGGTGCCACTTTTTCTGTTTTTCTCCAGTCCATTATATTTTCCTGAAGCGCTTCAAGGCCACAAATCTATCGCTAGAGGTTCCTATAGATTCCATGTATACACAGTGAGATATTGGGACTTTTTTTTTCCCCTGTGTTTTAGAATTCTTTCCCTTCTGGTACCTAAATATGCCATCAGTAAAGTCTTATTAAAATACAAAAGTGGTACAAAGGAAGATTTAGAAATTATACTAAGTGATCTTTCTCCTCTTCCTCTCTCTCTTTCTCTCTCCATCACTCCCTTGTGTGTGTGGTGCTGCAGATCAAATCTAAGGCGTTGCACATGCTAAGCAGCCATGCTGCACTGAGCTACACCCCCAGCCCTGATGATTTCATTTTATCATGCCTTTAATATCAGTGGGGAAAAGTCTCAAGGTTTCTAATGATGCACTAAAAAATAAAATTCAACCTTTAATACTTCCTAGAGTTCTAAGAGTGTATGAACAAGAACAGTGTACAAAGGAGGCCCAATTTTACCTCACCACAGTGATACCTTTGGTCTCAAAAACTCACATCCTCTTTAGGTAGCAAGTTCTATTAATAACTCCCTAATAGAAGTTTAATTTTAATAAAACTGCAAGGAATTAAGTATGTAAAATGCATTAGAAATCTATTTTTAAATAGGTGGCCAAAATTCAGTTTTACAAAGCGAATATCCAAAGCTAGATGTGTCATTCCCCAAGTCTTTTCCTGCCCATGGTACAGTGTTTAGTGACTAATATATTTGGCTTAAACTAGGGGTTATATTGCTTTGTTTGTAGTTTCTCTCTGATCTCCATTTCTACTCATACTGTAGCAATTAATGTCTCTACTTGTATTGTAAGTAAACATACAGACTTCTTAAATTTAAGGAATCTAGGGCTTGCTTCCTATTTGAAATAAAATTTTATCTCTATGTTTCTAGGCTTTGGAATACGCGAAGACCATCCCCAAACCAAAACAATCAAGTCTGACTGACCAAGCATCAAAGGGGGGAAAAAATCCAACCTATGCTGGCAAAACAGAAAGTTTACCTGAAATCTCCCGGCTAGAGATACTGCAGAGCAGACACGAGAGGGAAAAACAGGCCGTGGCTGCTTTCAAAGTTCTTCACATTGTCTAGACAGCGCTTGGCAGGAGATGAGAAATGCTCCAGGAACTCACGCAGGAAGGAAACTCCCACCAGCCCGCCCGCATTGTGCAGGATGGCCTGGTGCTGCCACTCAAGCGCGAGCACAGGCTCCCAGAGGCACATCAGCTCTGCGCTGCTCTTCACCTTCTAGCAAGAAAAGATCGCCAGTGATTTATTTTCAAATCAATTAGAATTTGCGGCTGATAAATAACTAGACAATAAAACTTTTAATTTTCTATTGGCTCTTTTGACTTAAACTATCTCTGCCCTTCTTTAGCATAACAAGAACCTTGAAGTTACGCAGAAAGAAATAAAAATGAACTCAACGGGACTCATCAGTAAATTCTGAGATAATGTGTCAAAGATATTACTTAAATATCCAAGTTTACCAAAGGATTTGTATGTAAAATTTTTTAAAATGGAAGGCATATGTAGATGTAGCTATGAAAATCTAACAAATCTCAATATCATTCACAATGTCAAAACATTAGTTAAAAATCCCCAGCAAGTCCAGAAATGCCCAAGTTGGACAGCGCTGATTAATGTGCTTTTACTGAAGCCAAGTACATAAAGTTGCTGGGTATCTTACCATCACAAATATCTTAAACTATTGTCAAATGCAAGCTTCCACATAAAAATAATATTAGATAAAACAAAAGTAGTCTACAGTTCCCTACTGAATGTAAATATTGATAAATATTTTATCTTTTGATGCATGTAAAAAATTCCCAGTCTTAAAATAATTACTAAATCTACTTAATTTTTTATTTCCTTGCTTATATTTGGTGGGCATTGCATTTTTAGGTGGACATATCCAAAAATATGTAATTTTATTTATTTATTTATTTATTTTTTACTGGTACCAGGGATGGAACTCATGACCATGCACTTGCAAGGCAGGCGCTTATGCCACTGAACTAAATCTCCCCAGCCCCAAAAATAGTAATTTTAATACCAGCTGAGGGCAGATCTATGTATGCATAGGACATAAGGACTAGCTTTGGAAATTCAAAATTCTATGTCATATAGAGTTTTCATACATAATGATGTGATATAAAAGCTATCTATGGTAACTTTTGAAACTGGAAATAGTTTAGAGTTAAGAGTCTGGGAAAATAGCATATAACTGAAGATTACAAGAAAACTGGCAAATCATGCTTCAGTGGTTTTTGGAAAATAGTACATGAGAAGTTAATGCCAAAAAAATCATAGCCTAAACTGCTTTAAAAGATATTTTTGTCAAAGAGGCTCCTTCAGGGTATATGATGAAGACACTTCTAGAAACATTAATTTTTTTTCCTAAATGACTAAATTTAACCCTAGAAGATCAGAAGGATGCATATTAGAGACATGCCCACAGTTTTATACTTAAAGGAACAGTAAAATTTTAAAATAGTCCATTTCAACCAGAGTAAAAAAAATTTAGAGCATGAAAATAATTTATCTTATTCAAATGCCAACTTTTCAATAGAGGAAAGAGAGGCCAAGAAAGTGAAGGACTCTCAAGTGCCTGCATTCTGTTGAGGGCAATGGGACAGTGGCCAGGTCTCAGTGCCCTGCCTCTCCCAGCGAAAACAGTACCCACACAGCTTCTTTGTCTATAAAAGGCAGTATTCTCGTTTGTCAGTGCAGGCAAGAGCACAGAGTTGCTGTGAGTCTCAAAATGGGTATGAATTTCCTTAAGTTCAATTTTTAGAAAGATGCCCTAATGTATACTTATTATTTATTTACTTAGTTATTTTTGCAGTGCAGGGTATCCAACCCAGCAGTGTGCCTACAAGGCCAGAACTCTACCATGGAGCCCCATCCCCGCGTTTTGAAGCACGTACAGTCTGGCAGATTTTTTTTACCAACATTGATAAAGTTGTAACACCTATTGAAAGCAGCGCACACTTTGCTGCTGACTTTTGATTTGCTCTGTGTCCCCCCACCCTAGAACATTCCCAAACCCTCCCAGCACCATCTTTCCAATCGATAGCCTCCCCTGGACCTGTGGTTAAATCCTTCCAACACTCGTGCACATCCTGCAGGTGAGGTGACTTAGTTGGTGTCAAACTGCTCTTCTGGAAGCTTCTTGCCCCCAAGGCCAGTCTTCACTATCTAACACGAAAGACTACTGAGCATCGGAATTCTTCGCGTGGTACCAAGTGGCATCTGAAGTGACTTTGACTAAAGGAAGAACACATACTGGCTGGAAGTTGGAGGTTGATGTCAGAAAATGGATTTAAATGGCCCTTTAGCCCCATGTTAAGTCACAATCGTCCCAGTCAGCAGAATGTCTCCCTAGGTCAGGAGAGAGACTACTAACAGTAAATGACAAATCTTTTATTGCTCTTTCTTTAAATTGTGCCAATAACAACAATATTGATCTTTTATAAGCCTGAGTGGGCCAGTGATCAATTTTATTACATTTCTATTCCAGATACTCAAGAAACTATAAACAAGCTGGCTGATAAGGAACAAGGAACGGCCAATGCCAGGGGCATACATAATAGGGGAGGGCCTCTATCTGACCAGATGTTGTATACGCCACTGAAAGACATGGTATGATTCTGCCTAATCTCTGTGAGGTGGTACAAATAAAGGTCTTTTGAGGCTCTATTCACTCTTATTAAAGCCTCCTTTCTGCAGTGTTTTTCCATCTTGAGTTTCCAACAAGAGCATCCTCTTAAAGGGAGCTTTTTTTTTTTTTACAAGTAGCTGAATTTAATGACAGCTGTTTTCTTGATATTGTTTTGTATCGTAAAGGAGTCTCTTGGGAGTTATCCAGAATCCAAGTCAAGAAAAGACAATATTGAGGGACAAAATAAAAGGTAAGCCTAGCAAAGGCACTGATGCCTAATGGTTCCAATTGGGGTCTTATTATTGGTTAATGAATCATTGTCAAAACATTGCGGCAAGCAGGAGCGTGCCCAGTGTAGTCTGTAGTGAGAAAATGACTCTCCATCCCGACAGTTATTAACTGGGAGTTGTTTGAAAACACGTCCAGTAATTACAACAACACTGGAGCTAATTGAGAACTTTGAGTTGCTAGCAAATGACCTACAATAGCAGACTAGATCAACTCGGGGGGATTCTTTTCTAATTACTTATTGAAAAGCAGCAGAAGATGAACTGAATTTGGGTGACAGACTTGCAGATATCAGGGCAAGTTCAGCTAATTCCCTCCCAAGATGTGCTCCAAAACATATATTACCAGTAAGAAGAATCTGAACATGGAAAATTCTTAAAGAAAAATCAGGATCGCCCTCCTACATACACCTTTAAAGATTACTTTTATCTGAGTAAGTTTTAAGTAATATGTGTTTTATTAAATCTCAAATATTCATGGGATGACTACAGGGCTTCTCTCCCCTAATCCCATTTTTGTAAACTCTATTTTCAGAAGGTAAAAATGGAAATATGAAAAGATACACAAATCCTTCATTTACCTCCTGTTTTAACAGTGAGTGAAGGATTTAAAATTGTAGCACATAGTGCAACTTTTTAGTTACTGAGGATTCTGTTTATCCACATAGGACTCACTCTCCCTAGATTCTTATCTGACAGATTGACCATATTATCAGATAAATAATATGTTTGTACTATAAAAGTAGCTCAAAGAGAAAACATCCATTCTAATAAAAATTTTTCTTCTTCTTCTTTTTTTTTATCAGTACCGGGGATCGAACTCACGACCATGTGCTTACAAGGCAGGCGCTTATGCCGCTGAGCTAAATCCCCAGCCCAATTTATTTCATTTTTTAAAAAATATGCTGAAATAGGATCCAGAGTAGCTGAAAATCTGATACTCAGAATTATTTCCTTACCCCACTGCCTCCATACTAACACCAGTATTTGTTTCTCTTCACCCTCTAGTTTCAAGCAAAGTCACACATCTTTCCGATAGAGAAACTGAAAAAGCATAAAATACCTCAATTTCCTAAGTAAACATCTGCTTTTGATAGTGGTTTCCATTCACTCATTTATCTCATTCCCTAAATTATTTATCATTCAGAAAAGATTCTAATTTTTCATGCTAGTTACTTAATTTTGGCTCAGTAAAGTAACTGGAAAGTTGGGGCCTTTCCAAAACATTATGAGAACTATACATTGAAAAACGCAGTGAGGCGCAAAATAAATAGATTTTTTGCAGCTCTCTCCAGAAATGCCAGGGCTCTTTGGAAAACATGAAGAGAGGAAAGAAGACTTTGGTGGACAGGGTTTATCTCCCTTGCTGCCTCTCCACTGTTTCTTCATTTCCCCCTTACAGACCTGAGTAATGTAAGTAATTAATTTTCAATAAGCTGGATAAATGGTCTTCTGCTATTAAATAGCTCTAACAGGTTGAGAGCTTGACAATGATGTGAATGTTTCAGGCAAATGTATTTAGTGACGCCTTGGAAATTTCAGCTAAGACTTCAAAAACACCCTTTCACTGGTGTCTATGAATTGGCATCTCATAGACACCAGCCCTGATACTGGGGCTGCCCGCCCAGTTTCTTAGGGTACACTCTGTTGCTGTTAAGGTCCCAAACAATTGCAGCAGATGCTTAAATAGCAAATATACCTGGGGTGCAAATTTGGCACTAGAGGAAGCCACTGTCAGGAATTTTAAACCCAGAAAACATAATCTCTTATCCTTTGGGAAACTGTCTACACAGAGAAAAGTAGAGAGCTCCCCAAATAAAATCAGTGGTGACATCTGTGCTAAATAAGTTCAGTCACATACATATGCTTTCTGTGGGGCCAAATTCCTCTCCCATTTAATCTTGCACTTTGTTTTTGGCATCTAGACATTCATCAAAATACGAATGATGAAGCCCAACTGGCCTCGCCTGATGGCCTCACCCCGTCACCTGGCGGGAAGGTCTTTTCCATCTCCCCTGCCTCCACACAATAGTGGTACTTTGAAGTACTGCAGATGAGGTCCCTAAATTTGTTGTCTCTACTTAAAATTGATAATCTCCTATGTTACAAACCTCAAGCACCTATTTTTAATGAAAGCTTTAGATGAATATCAAAGAACTATTTAGCCATGTCTAATATTTTAATTAGATTATATTCTCAATTTAACCCATTAAATCTCCTTTGATGATCCCCATATTTAGTATTTAGCCCCAGATGCACGAGATAATGAATACTGGACCTTTTGATTTAATGAGAATTTCGGCTCCTCCAGCCTGCACCTCTTTGTATACCTTTTATTTCGCTGGCTATAGAATTCAGTTAATTGAAGGGGTCTCTTACCATCACA